TGAAACCAAGAGTCAGATGCCCAACTGATTGAGCCACCCAGGCAAGCTTTGTGGTTTTTAAATGAATACAAATTGGCAACTGAGAACTTTCTGACAACCATTGATCATTAGAGTTATTCTAGGGTGTTGGAAAACCTAGACAGGGACTCACTGACCTAGAAAAACAATAGAAAGAAGTAATCCAGTAGGGTTTAGAATGACTACATCGTTACATAGATGGCAGTATAGTATAGTGGTGAACTGTTTACACTCCAGGGTCAGACCTGGGTTTGAGTCTTTTTTTTAAAAAAATTCAGATGTAATTCATGTATCATAATATTCACTGTTTTAAAGTGTACAATTTGGTGGATTTTAGTATATTCACAAAGCTGTGCAACAATCACACTGATTCCTGAACATTTTCTTTGTCATCCCCCAAAGAAACTCTGTACCCATTAGCAGTCACCACCTTTCCCTCCCTCTCCCCAACCCTTGGCAACCACTAATCTACTTTCTGTTCTTATGGTTTTGCCTATTCTGAGCATTTCATATTAAAAGAATCATACAACTTTTGGCCTTCTGTGACTGGCTCCTTCCATGTTGTGGTATGGATCAATACTTTATTAGTTTTTCTTGACGAATAATATTCCATTGGATGGATGTACCATATTTGTTTATCCATCAATTGACAGACATTTGGGTTATTCCTACCATTTGGCTATTTTGAATGATGCTGCTATGAACATCTGTGTACAAGTTTTTGAGTGAGCACATCTTCAGTTCTTCTGGATCATATGCTAACTCCACATTTAGCCATCCGAGGAATTGCCAAACTATTTCCTAAAGCAAATGCACCATGTTACATTCCCACCAGCAATGTCTGAGGGTTCCAGTTTTTCCAGATCCTGGCTGATATTTGCTATTTTTTAAAATTACAGTCATCCTAGTGGGTGTGAAGTAGTAATATAGCCATCCCAGTGAGTACGAAGTGGTGTTTCAGTGTGGTTTTGATTTGGCTTTCCTTAATGGCTAATGATATTGTGTATCTTTTCATATGCTTACTGATCCTTTATTTGTATATCATCTTTGGAGAAATGTCTCTTCAGATCCTTTGCCCATTTTTTGGGGGGGTCTTTTTTACTGTGGAGTTTTAAGAGTTCTGTGTATTTCTAGATACTGGACCCGTATCACATCTGTGACTTGAAATTATTTTTTCCCATTCTATGAGTAGTCTTTTCACTTTCTTGATGTCATTTGCAGCACAGAAGTTTTAAATTTTGATAAAGTCCAGTTTATCTATTTTTTTTCTTTGGTTGCTTGTGCATTTAGTATAATGTAAGAAACCCTTGCCTACAGGCACCTGGGTGGCTCAGTCGTTAAGTCTGCCTTCGGCTTGGGTCATGATCCCAGGGTCCTGGGATCAAGCCCTGCATCGGGTTCCCTGCTCAGCAGGAAGCCTGCTTTTCCCTATCCCACTCCCCCTGCTTGTGTTCTTTTAAAAAAAAGGAAAAGAAACCCTTGTCTAATCTAAATTCACAAAGATTTATACCTATGTTCCCTTCCAAGATTTTGTAGTTTTTGCACTTTCACTTAAGTTGTTGATTTATTTTGAGACAATTTTTTGTATATGGTATGTGGGGGGGGTCTAACTTCATCACCTTTTTCTTTCTTTCTTTCTTTCTTTTTTTTTTTACATGTAGATACGCAGTTGTAATACCATTTGTTGAAAAGATTGTTCTTTCCTCACAGAGTGGACTTGGAATCCTTGTCAAAACTTACTTGCCCATAAACATATGTGTATATCAGTTTATTTCTGGACTCTCAGTCTTATTCTGGGTTTGAATCTTAGCTCTGCTCCTTGCAAATAAATGTGATCTGGGACAGGTTATTATTATTTTTTGGGGGGGGGGTAATTATACTACCTACCTTTTAAAGGGTCGTTGTGAAAATGAAATGAGATAATGCCCGTAAAGGTATTATTTAGGGCCTGGCACAGAGTACATGTCAGATAAATTTGAAGGGGGAAAGGTGCTTCAATAATCAGGGAAGTAGTGTAAAAGGGAAATAGTTGAAAGGATGTTGAAATATTAGGAGTGGCCAGAACAAGGTGGCCTCATAAATGAGAGATGAGATGAACAGATGTTTGAAGAAGTTGAAAAAAAAATATTCAGTTCCCCAGTCTCGGCTACCGCCATTGCTAGATGATGATGAAACAGAACAGAATAGAAATAGTATAGAAAAGTGACTTACCATGAGCAACAGATTGTAACCATCTTATATTATTCTTTATAGAGCTGAAATCAGTTAAGGTGGATTATTTCAGAGCACTGGTGTTTGACTTTTTTCCATCAAGGAATCTTCTGAGAACATTTTGAATGCTGTGGACAACCCTCTTCCCATGAGAATACATATATGACAAACACACGACATTCTTCAGACAGTTCTAGGAGGTTCAGAAATCCCTGGTTAAAAGTCCTATCTTGACCTTATTCGAGGCAATGCTGACCCATAGCAAACTTTGCCGAGCTTAATTTCATAGCGAGGTTCAAGTGTCCCAGTTACTGCAGAACAGTATTTACGGTTTCAGGGAAGCTCAGGAGAGCTTTTCCTCTTGTACGGAAGAATTTGTATGGCGCCCTCCTAAGATTTAGAAGAGTACCACAAATGCTCTAATTGTTTTTCTACAGGTTTCAGCACGTAGAGGTCTTTCAGCAATGCTCCTGACCATCTGTCATTTTGGAGGGAAACCTTCCTCAGCTCTCCCAGGTAGCTCCCAACACAGACATTGAAGAATGCAGACTTCTAGTTCTGGAAGAGAGAGTAAATAAATGCAGTGTGAGGTGGAGTTGGGCCTAGAAGAAAAAGATAGGATTCTGGAAGGGACTCGGAATGAGAGGAGGTTTCAGAGAAACTCAGGAGGACACAGAAAGACAAAAGTAGAAGCGGAGACATGCTGTTTAGAAACCCACTTGCAAATAGTCAAGATGAACTTCAGTGCAGGAGGTGAGATGGTTGAAGGAAAGGTGTAGGGGAAAGAGCACAGGCACTGGCATCAGACTGACCCAGTGTGCTGGGTATGTATGTCCCTGGTTGATTTACTTAGCAATCCTGAGCCCCAATTTCCTAACTGTAATATGGGTATGGTAGTTCCTTCCTCACAGGCTTCCTGACAGAATTTATTGAAGTGATGTGTGTAAAGGGCTTAACAGTACTCAGAATACCGGAGGTGCTCAATAAATGCTAGGTCCCTTCTTCCGACTTCTACTTTAAGGGATCCTTTGTTTAATAATTACTGAATACCTATGTATGTCTGAGGCACCATGCTCAGAATAAAAATATGAAATAGTTGATGCCCTCAAGGAGCAGGGAGAGTTAGCTGGAGACACAGATCTGTAAAGGAAATAAAAGAGAATGTTCTGGAAGCCATCAGTGGCTGTGGCGATAAACATGTCAATGTGCGAACTCCTGGGTTTGTAGGCATGGATGCTGATATTCACCTGATAGGGAAGACTGGAAGAAGAGCAGGTGTTTGGGGTTTTTGTGGTGGGGATGGGGGTGTGGGTGAAGGGGTGGTGTAAATAGCAAGTCCATTTATGGACATGTTGAATTTGAGCAGCGGAGCTATCAAAGGGTATATTCCTGCCTGGAGCAAAAGTTGGAATCTATCATCTCCAGAGTCTCTTCCAATTTTAGGATTCTGTGATATATGCACATTGTAATTGTTTTACCTTTTCCTCTCTATAGGTGAGTGCTGATAGAGACTATAAGCCACATGTGGCCAGCCAACAATTTAGAAGCATTTGTAAATCATAAACAAAGACTGACCACGCATCTCATGTTTGAATGAAAGTGGTCATACAAACATCTGAACTTACCAAACCGAGAGTGGCTGTTTTACAAAAAAGACTCTTTATTTTTTAACCTGCTTTCCTATAGATTTCCATTAGATAGCTAGTTAGTTTAGTGCACGCTTAAAGGTTTGATTTAGAAGCAGCTTTTAAAGATGCATCTGTTATACTTAGTGGCAGAATCGAAATTTTAGGCCTTGGCGAGGGTCTCCAATGATAGTGAGCTGATGAACAAAAGTTATTCAAAAGCCAAAGATGGCTTTTTCTCTTTTCTATAAATAGGATTAACATTTTCTGTCGATAAGACATATTTTTCCTCAGTTAGGTCTAGCTTAGAACATTTCTGTGTGTTGATTTTAATTAACGGAGGACCCCTGGCAGTATCTATTATGTTCAGCTCAGGAATGTCTGCGGAAGAAGAGAGAGATTGACCAAGAGATCAGTTTCATGTTAATCGGGTGACTTCTTTTACTCTCTGATGGTACCTACCGAAATGAAAGTTACCAGATCTGAAAATTTCTGGCCCCTCGCCTTGCTAATTTGTATCTGGGTGTTGGTTTGCATCTTGTTATGTTTTAGGATGGCCGAAAACACACATGGGGAGGTGCGCTTTGTAGCAGGCCTGTGCCTGCTCAGTCGGTGTGTACTAATAAAACCCAGCCGAAACCACAAGATAATGCATCTTCATTATTGATCCGCAGCTACTGATGAGTAAGTTGCAAAGTCACAGTCCCTTCTCATTGAGCTTGACGAGGTGCAAAGCTTGCTTGACATAAAATACAGAATGGTACTGGAAAATGGGGATGGAGAATTTCGCAGGGCCTCAGGCTCATCATAGTCCAGGACCAGAGATGCCAGTGGATGATATGTGAGGGATGGCCCCGCGCTGGTATTGTGAGCTGGAAAGTAGTCTTAACCAGTCAACCAGGATTCAGAGGTGGCCACACAGTTCTATTTATTAGCACAGGAGCCTAAACTCGGGCATTTATCGAAAGCAAGGCTTGAAGCAGGGGGCAAAAGGCTTTTTGATTAATTTCCAGCTGGCTTTCCTCTTGCTCCAGCATCGCTCGGGGAATCCAGCGCGCCGAGTCTCCGCTGGTGAGCGTGGAAGCAATGCTCTATCCACGTTTCCTTTGGAGACGCTTAGTGACTCCTGCTTTGTATTCCTTGCAGGTGAAAGCCCAGCCTCTGTGGTTCTTAATGCCCCAGCAGGATTATTTTCACTAAAGATGGAAACACTGGAGTCCGAATTGACCTGTCCAATCTGCCTGGAGTTGTTCGAGGACCCCCTGCTGCTCCCCTGTGCCCACAGCCTCTGCTTCAGCTGTGCCCACCGCATCCTGGTCTCAAGCTGCAGCTCTGGTGAATCCATTGAACCCATTACCGCTTTCCAGTGTCCTACGTGCAGGTATGTTATCTCGCTGAACCACCGGGGCCTGGACGGCCTCAAGAGGAATGTGACTTTGCAGAACATCATCGATCGCTTCCAGAAGGCTTCCGTCAGTGGGCCCAATTCCCCAAGTGAGAGCCGCCGGGAGAGGACTTATAGGCCCAGCACGGCCATGTCGAGTGAGCGAATTGCTTGCCAGTTCTGCGAGCAGGACCCGCCAAGGGATGCAGTGAAAACATGCATCACCTGTGAGGTCTCCTACTGTGACCGTTGCCTGCGGGCCACACACCCGAACAAGAAACCTTTCACCAGCCACCGCCTGGTGGAACCAGTGCCCGACACGCATCTCCGAGGGATCACCTGCCTGGACCATGAAAATGAGAAAGTGAACATGTATTGTGTGTCCGATGACCAATTGATTTGTGCCTTATGCAAACTGGTGGGACGTCACCGAGACCATCAGGTCGCGTCCCTGAATGACCGATTTGAGAAACTCAAGGTAAGGGATCTGGGAAATATCCCTTACACAGCTTGGTCTCTTTTATACGTAGCCATACAGTTAGCGAGTTCTCTAACAAAGCTAGGGCCACCTTGCCTAGGTGACAAGTCCATTAACTCCCAAGGTGCCCTTGTGAGGAATAGCCTACCCACTTGCAAGCTCTCACTGGAACCTGTTTCGTCAGTTGCATAAACCTGCTTTCATTCCTTCACCTCTGGCCAGTTCTGGTCTGGATGAGTTAAGCCCTTGGCCCTGCGCACCACTCCAGTAGCGCATCCAGGGAAACGAGTCCCTCTCTCCTCTGTCAGTGACATATCGCACACTACATATCTTTGTCATGATCTTTCCACCTCTTCTTTTAAGTATGTGAGTACCTGTGTAGGTGTACTATAATTAGCATATGTGCTGATATGCACAGCTATGGGGAGAGCAATGGGAAAGCTGGGCGTGTCTCTGTGGAGGTGTCTGAGTGTGTCTCTACGTAGGCGGGAGATTTGTGTGGAGGACAGTAGCGTCTGTGTTAGCCTGCTCAGTACGCTAAAGAAACAAAGGCCTGACATTGGCTGCCTGCTACTAATTGCCCTCAAGCCCTTAACGTGGAGCTCACTAAGCCTGCCTTAAAAAACCAAACCAAACCAAAAAAAACAAACAAAACAAAACAAAACAAAAAAAACCCAAACCCAGAGCAGAACAGCAGACCAAAAATTAAAAAAAGGAATTTTAGTTTACCAGAAGTCAGGAGGGATAATCCAATGTCTGAACTAAAGCTTTAAACCGAAGGCAATAAATCTTGAATCCAGTATCCGATTTTGTGCCTGTGCTCGTTTCTGTGGGTTGCAGACTGAAGCCCCTGGTTGCAGTCCCTGCCTTGGAAGTTCCCAGTCTTTAATATGTGTTCCGTGGACAGAGTTTTCCGAAGTTGTCATGCCACATAGTATTTATGCACAAGACTAAGTGCCTATTTTATAAAGCCCTATTGCCTCACTTTGATGTTAACAAATGTCAGCTCCGGCAAATTGTTTTCTTCCCGTTGCCTGCCCGCTGTGTGGCTTAACTGCTCTTATGAAGGGAGCTATTTAGCAGAAATTCCAGGAAAAATAAATGTTTAAATGACTAACAGGATGACCACCCCCAAACAGGGACTGGATATAGAAGCCAAGCTGGAAGGAAGACCCAGATAGGGTGGAAGGAGGGCAAGAAGGAAGCGGGGATTTTCCTTTTGCCATGCCCTGAACAAGTCCTGGTAACTTACCTAAAAGTTTCGTGGTTGGCGACGGTAGCAATACTCTGAATAGGATATATTTTCCTTTCCTGTAATTTGTTGCAAGCAGTATTGAGAAGTAGTCACACTGACAATGGTTTGTGCCGTCTTCAATTTTTATTTATACCTAATATTTACAAATTTGTATGAAATTCAGCATTTATCTGTGGATTTCACTCAAGGTGATATTCTCATTCCCTTCAAAACTATAGCGAGGAATAAGCTCATTGATTTCAGTTCTTAGATGCCTAAGACGCTAGGCCCTGCACTTGTTCTAGCTAAAGCCTCACACTGTAACGTGGTATAAACTAAGACCTGGCGAGGTTAAGTGATTCAGTCAGAGTCACAGAATTGGATTGGGAACTCGGCTTCTAGACCCCACGTTAAGTATCCTTTCTGCTGTGGCCTGCCGCTGCTTTGTTTTGGACCTAAGTTTTGCCCATGAAATGTGATTTGCAACTTAACTTTATGCTCTGGCAATTGCACATTTCATGGGTCACAGATAAACGATTAACAGCATCAAGGAAAGGACATACTGTAGAAACGTACAGCTTCGTAGTGGCAAGAGGTGGGGGTGGGGCTGCAGGAAGGGGGGGATATGGAGAGGATGGAGCAGTTTCTGCCAAATATTTGCAGGTGTTGGAACTATAATAAGGCATTGGCCTTGAGAAACACTCCAAACAGAAAACTCTGTATCCATATGTACAGTGGAGATAATAAAAGACTAGATAGAATAAGCCTGTATCTGTAGAACACCAGCTTTTTGAAAACATCCGAAAACATGAAAACACTGGATGATTGATTAGCTATTTGGCACCACACAGCCATAGCCCTAGTCTCCGGGGCTGGATGGAGCACAGAAGTATTTTACCAAAAGATACTTTGGTCTGTAACTAATCAGTAATCTTTGGAGAAAGAAAGGCCAGATTTTTGAATTGTTCCCCTTTAAATTTTTTAGGAAACGTGCAGAAAATTCTGATTATAAATTAAGTGGAAACTTTTTTTTTGGCTCATTTTTGGACCGAGAGTGGAAACATATGAATCATTCCCAACCGCGTGGTTTGTTATGTTGTCTGGAACATCTTGGACTTTGGGGCAGGAGAAAGTGTGTGTGAGTGTATGTGTGTGTGCGCGTGTGTGTGTTGGATGTGTGGGGATCACTTCGGTTTGGTTTCCAAATGTAAAGGCTATGAGTTCTCCACATGAGGCAGAGAGGAGGTCTGACTTTTAGTGTCTCTGTATTCTCACTTCTTTGGGTTCATTTTAATTTAAAAGCATTTAGGATCATCCCCTTAACCTGCCAGATTCTTCCCCAGGGAGAAAGGGGAAAACTGATTGTCAGAAGCTATGGGGGAGATGGCCTGGAGCTCACTCCACTGGCCCTGAGAGGAGCATGGCAGTCCTACAGGAGAAGGGGAAGGAGGATACTACATATACCTACGGGTTTTACTTTCTGACCAGTAAGTGAAATGGTGTTTATTTGTTCTTTTCGGTTCTGGAGCTTCCCCGTTGACCTTCATAACTACCCTTTCTGTACTAACCTCCCTGAGTAGGATTAGTGGTTTCTAGTATTTATTTGTTCAATAAAGAATAAACACACTGGTGTGTTATAAGATGAAAGGTCAGAATAACCAGAAGCCAGCCTGTCTTCTTAACATGTGCTCAAACTGGAGGACAGGGTTTGGGATACTTACTATGGTTTATTATCCTTATTTAGTTGTCCATTCTAACTACATGTCCTTCCGAAGGCCACTAGTGGTTCAATTAATTCTTCAATTCCAAAGAATAATTTTCTTCACAGTAGAAAGGTCTATCAGAGTCATTATTTCCTCCATCCCTTCTCTTTCCATGTGCTAGTCCCAATATATATTCTTTTTTTTTAAAGATTTTATTTATTTATTTGACAGAAAGAGAGCACAAGTAGGCAGAAAGGCAGGCAGAGAGAGAGAGGGGGAAGCAGGCTCCCTGCCAAGCAGAGAGCCCAATCCAGAGCTCGGTCCCATGACCCTGAGATCTGACCTGAGCCAAAAGCAGAGGCTTAACCCACTGAGCCACCTAGGCGCCCCAATCCCAATATATATTCTTAACTTGTGATATTGTGCTGCATTTCTATAAAAATGCTTCACATGTTAAAGAGTTTTCATCGGCCCATGAGTTTCTCTCCTTCAAAGAGATTGATACTATTGCATTAATAAGTGTTGGCTTTATAAAAAGAGGTCACATTTCAATGGTCTATATTGATGACAGATCTCAACTCCACATTCTAAATCCTGTATGACTTGATTCGTGTGCTGCCCATCTGTCTTACCCCGCTACCACTCTCAGACATGCTACCTTCATCTGCCCAGACTAGCCTCCTAACCGCCTCCTAAACACACCACTCCTTCTTTTGGGTGACTCCCAACTTTGACCCGTGCTCTTTTCTTGACCCGCTTAGGAGTCCTACTCATTCTTTAGTCCCCAGCTAAAACCCCATAAGGTCCATATCCCATGAATTCTTTGAGGCCAGGCACAATGTCTTTTATTTCTTCAGTATCCTCCTTCGTGCCTTGCATACACAGTATATGCTCAAGGCATCCAAGTGAATGGAATCTTTATAACAGATCTGTGGGAAGTATACCACCGGCGTCTATAGCTTGCTTTAGCTCTCATCTTGTAAGATATCAATCTGTCTTGCCATTGTGGCTACTTCAGAGGTCTGAAAAAAAAAATCTCCCACGGACTACTGATAATGTTAAAAAACTGAGTGCTTGCGAAAGTATGGCATGTCCTTATTTTAAGTGCCTATTCATTTGGATTGCTGGATTTTCCAACTGCCTAGCCCTATGGTGACATCTGTATAAATCAGATGCGATTATTATAATTCTCTTTGAGAGTGATGTCTTCACATTTCCATGTCCATAGCCTGCCAAAAATATAGCTGATGAAAACCAGAGGGAATAGAGGAATTTCCTGAAAGGAATAAACAAGCACATTTTCTTTTTTTCATTACATTTCCACAAATTCATTACTACAAATAATTCTTAAATGCAGTTACATTTACATATCAGGGATCTTGTTGTTATAAAATATTACTTGGCACCAGAGTAAGCTTTTTGTTATGGGAAAGTAAAGTGTGCACGCGTGTGCACGCGCACGCGCGCGCGCACACACACACACACACACTCACCCCCCACACACACACGGAAAGAGAGGCTGAGACGGAGAGAGCTAAAGATTGCTAGACAAAGAAAAGGGAGATATGAGACTTGGAGAATGTTCAAAGGAAAGTCACAACGAGAGTTAAAAGGTTGGAAAATATGATATTCTAGAATCTTATCAGAGTTGATTACTTGCCTTTCTTCCTACTCAGTCACTCTGTCATCCACCCACCCATTCTCACTCAGCCACCACCTTCTCCCAGTCATTTGTCTGCTCACCCACTAGACACCCACTTCTGTCTGCCAAGACAGATACCCTCTCAACTTATCTACCACTGGACATTTGACTGTTTCAGAACCAGCATGACTATTAATATAAGAGAAAGAAAAAAATATCTTTATGAAAGCCTGGGTTGAGAGGAAGTATATTTGCATACATATGTATGTGTCACCATATATGAGTGTGTGTATTTCTGCGTGGCTAAGCGGCTGAGAATGCCTCTGTTTGTTTGTTTATGTATTCTACTGTGTGTGAGGAGGAGAGAGCGTCTGTGTTCATCTTCTGTGGGCGTATCTATAGAGAGGTTGGGTATGAGGAT